AAAATATTACACTTTTTAGATTGTTATCGCACATCCTATAATATTGTTATAATTTATTTTTTCTATTTCAAATTGAAATTTGTATTTTTTATTTTTTATTGCAAACATATTTTGTCGTTTTAAATAAATTTGGTAGTTTACAATTTATACTTTATTCTTTATCATTTTTCGTGTACATTTGTCTTGACTGTTTGTATTTGCAATTTGTAATTAATTGTTGTTAATATTAGCAACTATTACATTTGTTGTTTTGTATCGTACAATCATTATCTCATTTTGTTTCACATTCAAAATCCACTGCAAAAAAAAAAAAAAAGATCAAGTCATTGTTTAACAAGATCGAAGAACGGAAAAGCAATATTAAATGCATACGGACATGCACGAAATTAATGTCAATGGAGAAAAAGTTCACGGTGTGAGAATATAAGCGATTTTCGTTACTTTGTTTTCCCGCTTCATTCATGTGAATGTCCCATTGTCAAACTTCGGAACTGGACAGTCCTTGTGTGTGATAAATATTATACGCGTGAGAGCGTGTCAACTCGTATTTGCCCAGAAAAAAGAGAACGATGATCCATTTTTGTTCATGTTGCTAACATGTAGAACGTCCTCTAGAGGGCAAAAAAAAATTATTATTTCATGATTCACAATCATTTTATTGTTTCAAGTTCTTTTTCCTGTTTGATAAAAGATATTCAATTTCTTGTAAATATATATTACCTAATAAGCAAAATTAAACCCTTATAAATTTTAATTGGTTGTTTTTAGATTGTTGATTGGTGATAATCTTACAATTTAATTTTCACTTATAAGTTGCAATTTGCAGTTTTCTATTTTATGTTGCAAATTTATTATGTCGTTCAATTTTTTTTTATTTTGTTGTTTGTTCAAGTAAAACTAATTAGAAAATGCAAACAAAAAAATACAATATTGTCGAGAACATATAAAATAACAATTACAATCCAACACATATGATCTCAAGAAAATTAATAATTGAAGATTGCTATAAAATACTTATGTAAACAAAATAAAAAATTTTATAAAATAGGGTTCT